AATAGGAAATAATAAAATAGAAGAGCCATTACAACCATTTTCTTTATGCTAAATAATTTTGTAACTCCCTTAATTGATTTATGCTCATAATTTATGGCATTCAAGCAAGTTAATTTGTAACTTAAAAATGAAATTGAATGCTAAAAAAATTGGAGGGAGAATAAAATTTAATGCATCACAATAAAATTAAATGCTTGACTTGCCAAATTATATATTTATAGATATATATATATATATATATATAGATTGTGAATTACATTATTATATTATTTTACATAGTAATAAATTATTTTCATTGTCTTTAGGTATACAAGTACAACACCCATGTATTACACGTGTGCTTGTTAAAAAAATATTCTTAACTTTTAAAATTAATGAGAAAATTATTTTAAATTTTTATTTACTTTTTTACAAAAAGATTTATATTATTATATATTTTAGAATGACACTTGTTACTTGTACAACTTACATTTGTTATATTATAGTAATTTATATAACTTATATCATATAACTACTTGAAATATAAATATATTAATTGATAAATAATTTATTTTTCTAATTAATATTAAAAAATAATTTTATTATTGTCATAAAGATAAATATAATTATTTTTTTTATACATATATACAATATGAATGTTAAATCGAAACTCATCAAGAGATGATTAATTTGATATATTATATATTTAAAACTGATAAAAAATGCAAAAGTTATTAATTTTTTAAAATACATTTACAATTCAATAGTAATAATAAGAAATGATATTAAAATGCATTAATACATGTAACTTTGACCATAAATAATCAACATATTTATGGATAATCCAAAATAATTATTTTTGGATTGGAAGTAAATTAAATTTACTCAAGTCTAATAACGAATCATGTAATTTTGCCACATAGGATTTCAAAGCATGCGAGTCTGAAAAGTGATAAAAAAAATTAGTGATAAATATATTTATTAAATCCAAAAAATTAGTTCACCGACTTAGCCATTAATCAAGTGACCCAGAAGACCGCGTTTGAAAAGTGAAAACAATGTTCTCATATTTCCCCATCTATATCTATCTATATCTATATAAAGAGAGAACATATTTACTAAAAAGAGTTACAGAAAATGTCAACCAACATTTATTACATTCTATTTTTGGTAGTTTTTTTATTTTTTTTTTAAATTATTCCTAAAAAGTGAATCAGCTATATATGGACCCTAAATTCATGGGTTTTGTGGATTTATGCATACAATTTTGCAAAAGTCAAAATTCTTTCTCATTTTTTATATAAAAAAATTGATTACCATAAAATTGAGAATTTCTAATTAGGAAAAATACAATCACATATAGCTTTTCCTAATTGCAACAGATCAATTGTTTATTAAAAAAATTGGTTCATAGAAATCGGGTTAATTTAGGTAAAATTCAGCACAACAATCCTGTAAAATTCAAAATTCTTTACCACAAAATCAAAAATTTCAAGTTAGGCTAAATACTATAACATGTATCTTTACCTAATTACAACAAATCATATTTATTAAAAAAAAATCAGATTCCATAGAAATTATGCCCAAAATTTTAAATTAAAAATTAAAATTTAAAAATCTCATATTATTTGGCTACTACTTTTTTTTTTTATTTTGGATTTTTTGTAAATATAAAATAATTAGATATTCAAAATGCAATCGGATTAGAACATCATAAAAATTTGAGTTTTTGTTTAATCCTCTAGAATACAAACTTGAAATGGATTGCATACACTTACACAATTTTTCATTTCCTTAAATTAAGTAATTTATAATTTTAAAATAATAAAGCTATAGGTTATACATTTTACAATCTCCATTATATTTGGCTATGCATTCTTCATAAAACCAGTATAAATCATATCATATATATCATGCTAAATAATTTAGCTCAATAATTTTATTAATTTATTTAAGTTTATCTAGAATTCTAATATATTTTTTGGCGATAGACGATGTACCGAAAGATCAAACAAATAATTTTGTGTGCAATGATGTGTTTAAAAAAAATATATAAGTTATATTTTGTTTTATTCCTATATATGCGTATCCAAATCTAAATTCTTACATTAATAAAACTAGCACGTGCATTGCACGGGTACCACACTAGTAAAAGTGAAACGCAATAACATAGTTTAAAAATTAACCATATTTAAAAACATTTGACTTGGTAAAACAATTGATTCATATATGGCAATCATACTAAAATAATGATGCAAAAAATGAATAAGGAAGTATATAAATATATTTTTTGAAAAATAAAAAAAATGTAACATTTCCATTTATTAGTCTTATGGTCAACAAGGTAATTTTTTGATTTTGCTCTCTTTCTTGAACATGTTGGTTTTGTGTAAAGCTCAATTGTGGGGAAATATGACCATCAAACACAAGTGAATAAAATGGATTAGGCCCAATAAAATCTTTCTTTCTTATGTGGTTCATATCAAACCAACAAGCTTCTACAAAAAAAACTTATATAATTTTGTTTAAAAGCCTCATAAATAATAGAATAATGCTACTTGTACTTCTTGGTTTACATCAAAGCAGTACATGTACACATTTACCATTATTGAATAATTTACTGTACACATTTACCCTTATTGAATAATTAGTAAATTATTCAATAAGGGTAAATGTGTACATGTATCCTTTGGATGTAAACCGAGTGGTACACCAAGGAAAGGAGTATAAGTAGCATAATCCTAGATAATATAGTCTCTGCAGCTAGGTTTAAATCAACTCATTTTCTCTGTGTAGACATTTTGGTCCAGACTTTTGTACATATCATCATTACATCACACTTAAAAATTACTTTAATTATCCTTTCTGTATTATTATTACATGTAACCAGCTCTAGTCTTGGTGAATGTTTGATGTTTCAAAAAAAATGTTAAAGAAAAAAAAAAAATAGCAACTGATTTATTATTGTATTAAGTATAGAATACATCATAAATTACTGTGAAAAAAACAGAAAAGAAATCACAATCATCTCACAAAACTAACAACAACTAAAAGAAATACACAAGAACAACCTTAATACAACCATGAAAGAACACAAGAACCCTAATACAAGTTTTTTTTTTTTATTATTATTATTTTTTTCCCACTCAAGTTTTTATAATAAGCTCCTGGGCACACTCTTGGTGCATCCTGAAATAACACTTGGAGCATTCAAATGCTATATCATCAGTCTCCCGTATGCTTTTCCCACAATGGCCACACAGGTATCCATCGACTGAAACAGCCCGAACGCAGGCAACCGGACACTCATGGCACCTGACCGAAACCTCAAAACCAAACTTAATCTTTGACGGAAAAATTGCACTATTTGTCCACTAACTATTCCCGCGTTGCAATTTCGTCTTGTTTCCGGTTTACAATTGGTACACTAACTTTTTTTTTTGTAATTTTAGTCCAAAATGACATTCCGGTGCTCATTTTCGCCAGAATAGCTGATGTGGCGCCTAGTCAGATCGGAATTTCTATTCTCGGCGTGATGTGGCACGAGGTGGCGCCTAGTCAGATAGGAAAAATTGCACTATTCGTTCACTAACTTTACATTCGTTGCACTTTCGTCCTTTAATTGTTTCCGGTTTACAAAATAAGAAAAAAAAAATTAAAAAAATCAAAAGAAAAATAAAAAGCTTTAAAAAGAAAAAGAAAAAATCAAAATCAAAAGAAAAAAATATAATTTTTTTATTTAAAAAAAATTATTTTTTAATTTAATAAAAAATGAAATATTTAATGATTAAATAAAAATAAAATATTTAATAAAAACGAAATAAATTTATAATGAGTAATAAATATTTTTTATTTAATGATTAGGTATTTAATACAAAAACGAAATATTTAATAAAAAATGAAAAATATTTTATTTTTTATTAAATATTTAATTTTTCATTAAATATTTAACCATTAAATAAAAAATATTTATTACTCATGAAAATATTTATTTCATTTTATATTTAATTTTTATTAATTATTTTTATTTAAATAAAAAATATTTTTTCATTAAACAAAAAAAAAATGATAAATATTTTTTTATTAAATAATTAACCGTTAAATAAAAAATATTTATTTCTCATTAAACATTTATTTGTTTTTATTTCGTTTTTTTATTAATTATTTCGTTTTTAATTAAATAAAAAAATGTATTTTTATTTTAAAAGAAGATATATATTTTTTTTTATTTTGTTTAAAATCATCAAACAAAATGATTTTTTGTTAATTAATATTCTTTTTTTTGTTAATTTTTTTATCCACATGTCTTTTCTTGTTCTTTTTAGAGCTTTCTCTTTTTCTTTTGATTTTTTTAATATTTTTTTTCTTCTGATTTTGTAAATAGGAAACAATTAAAGGACGAAAGTGCAACGAATGTAAAGTTAGTGGACAAATAATGCAAATTTTCCGATCTGACTAGGCGCCACCTCGTGCCACATCACGCCGAGAATGGAATTCCGATCTGACTGGACGCCACATCAGCTATTCTGGCGAAAATGAGCACCGTAATGTCATTTTGGACTAAAATTACCCAAAAAAAAAGTTAGTGTACCAATTGTAAACAAAAACAATTAAAGAACGAAAGTGCAACGCGGGTATAGTTAGTGGGTGAATAGTGCAATTTTTCCATCTTTGACAGACGATCCACACAAGGAATGCAATTCGCGTGAAAATATTGCTTACATTCTTCGCAGCCGTAGTGCCATTTTCTCCAATCGATTTCGTTTTCGCAAATCTTGCAAAGCCTGTTTTCTTCTTCTTCTCCTCTTCTGCTCGTGCTCGTGATTAGCTTCAACGGGTGTCGGTCAAATTTGTGTCCGACTGTGTCTAGGAGGAGAGCGCAGTGCCAGTGGATGGAGAAGCTACGACAGTTTATACACGAATATGAAGTGATCGGATATTCATTCATATCTTTGAGGCAGCATTTACACGTTTCGATCCTAAGATAACCGTTGAACTCGTAGTTTTGCAACCTCAAAAGAAGAATGTGGGCCTTCCCATGGGCACCGTGCGTCATTAACTGAGGCATTAAGGCACACACCACATCCATATACTTTTCCTCTCTTCCTTCGACATAGTAAGCGGACCCATTGCATTTGTGCTTGCAAACCATACACTCGAATATGGTGAAGGGCTTAGTGGCTACCTTTGGTGTAAACAAACAGTAGCCTATGTGGAAGGACGAAAAAGCTTTTGGAAAACTGGAACAACAACTATGCAGAAAGAAATCTTTGCACGTATTATTATTATGTGTGCAACTGTAAAATGGATCGGGTGGAAAGATAACTTGAGCACATGCATTGCAAACACGAACAATGTCATTGTGATGATTGTTATAGATCACGGGATGCTCGTGCAATCTAATAGTTTCTAACGAAAATGATTCGCGGATACCTGATGCACTGCTAATCCTAGAACTAATTGGATGATCTTCACTCGCTGTAGTACCGCCAAGACCAAACAACGGGTAATCGGGTATCTTGGTTTTTATAGTACGCGACATCACGCTAGCAAGCTCGTTTTCCATTGGCAGGCGAAGTAGATTCGGCAAGTCTGCTTCACCAACCAACACTACAAATAAAGAAAAAATTAAACTTCCTGTTAAGTGTGTGTGTGTGCGCGAGCGCTAATTAAGAAAAATAATCAGATTACATATTACGTGTTTGAAATCAATGATGTGCTGAGTTAACAACACAGTCGATATGAACATAATAATAACAAACATCACAGGCATAAAACCCGAAACCCATGATTTTGGTGGTGCAAATGTCGCAGCCGCTAGAGGATCTGTTAGTAGAAAATCCAAGGAAAAGAGGGTGCTCGTGACATGATGTGTCGATGATGGCATTCGAAAGAAGGGCACAGTTGGGATGAATCCAGAAATCGCAGCTCGTGCACGTGTAAGCCTTTACGGTTGCATCTTTGAATTGAGGGCGGCAATTATTACTCTCTCCGACCGGCGCGTGTTGGTTCCCGCACGCATTGCAGACGAACGTGAGAGATGAAATAGACCGTGGATTCCCCTTAACTGCCGTTAACCTGTGCCCGTGGCTCCTGTGTAAGACCTTGATGGACAGGGCGCACGGCAGATCGAACACGAAGTCACAATCTCCAACATCAACCATCGGGCACGCGTAAAATTTGCTCCCGCAACAACTCGACAAACATCTGGTGCAATAATATCTCGCATCGTCATGTTCTTCCGGAAGCTGGTGTCGGAGAATGAGGGCTTCCCTCGGGTGCTGTGGATGGCTCGGGAGTTGAAGAGGAAGATATTTGTCAGAGCATTGATCGTGAAGCCTGCCCCCCAATCTATCTTCGACGAAAGGGGTGGAGAATATCGGGAGGCGACAAGCAGTGCATGTCCATGAGTTGGCTTCGTCTGGGTCGGCCATGTTTTCGACCTCGGGAAAAGGGATACAGTGTTTTGAGATGGAGATTCCCTGACTCATTTTGGAGGGTGGTGGTTATGAGAATGGATCAACAATGGTGGCCAGGTTAATTACATGAAAAACATAGAAAAGAAGAAGCATCAACATATAAAGAGACAAAAGAGCGCATGTAATGTTAATAGTGTTTTGCTGATTTAGCTTCCAACTATACTTCAAGTATCTAACTTTACATTTATTCCTTCCCTTCATCAAACATATATGCACTTTGTAAAAAATTCGTTGTGTCATTAAAAGCACAAATCAAACGGGAATAGTAAAAACTCGAGCCCTGGGAATGCAGCAGTGTTAAAACTCTTGAGGGAGAGCTTTGCCGCCCTTGTGGTCCTACCCGGCTCGATTCCTCTGTGGATCCGGAAACCGGAAGGTCCATGTACCAAAAAAAAAAAAAGAAATAATCATAGTCGGTGGATGTGATATATTTAAGCTCTACGGCGAATCAAAAAGCTCCAGGGCAGTCAAAAGCCCTAGCACCAGTAAAAGTGGGGCGGTGACATTTATGTAATTATGGTATGTTTGATTTTTTATGCGGGGTATTTTAGTTATTGCGCAAAATACACTGGTACGTACACTAATGTAGCATTCTCTCAGGCATTAATGTCACTACAAAAAATTATGTATTTCAAACGGTTCAAATGAGAACAAAGTCCTAGTGTGAGAACCGTGAGAACTGCTATTTTTAAATTGTATGTAGTGCTATGATTGCTTGTGTTTTAGTGCTATTTTTAACTATGATGTAGTTTATTAAAAATAGCAAGAAAATTTTTATTAGCATTTGGAAAGTGATAGCACCATGCAATATTAAAAATAGCATCATATACAATTAAAAATAGCATCAAATATGGTTCTCACGCTTCTCACACCAGACTTAGTTTTTATTTGAACCAACCCCTTTCAACGGATAATCCTACGATAATATCTATTACTATATAAAACACTTAAGAAAAAATACATAATTAATAAGATTTTTCCCGCTTATTTTTTTTTTTGAAATTTTTTTGATTTTTTTTTTTAAATTGTTTTCATTAATCCCGCCTATAAAATTTGGTTTTGCCAATCAAATCCGATTTTTATTATAGTAACAGATTTTCACTTCCTATTTTTTTGGATGCGATTTGCTAAAAACCGGATAAAGTCATGCAATACCCCAACCAAATTACATTCTTACATATGCTAATGTTATTTCATCTGATACTTTGGGCAAAACGAATGTGGATAATTTCCCGTTGTGCGTTATTTTTTCCAATCGTGAGCACACGGGGTGGTAGGGGCGAAACCACGCTATGGCAAGGAGTGGCCTCGGCCATCCCATAATTTTTTTTTTTTAATAGGTATAGGGGCCGAGGTTGCCGGCCGGAGGCGGCGCCCTTCCATGAAATCTGCGCACAGGGAGAGGGAGTTAGGGATGGAGAAGAAGCTCTCACGTCTGTTTTTTTTTATTACATTTAAGCCCATTTACAGTCCATTTATTCTGTTAAAAAATATTAACACATTAGGCCCATAGGGAAAGCCCAATTAATGGGGGAGATTGCCAGTTTCCAAAAATTAACACAAATCTTACCAAATTATATCAAATTATAAAATCTAACCCCTTCCCCCTCCAGCCCTCCTCTTACTGCGGCGCTGCCCACCTGTCTCTCGGCCGGCCGCCGCCCTCGCCGTTCTGGCTTCCAACTCCAGCGCCGGCGACTCCAACTTCTCCGGTATTTGTGTTTTTTTTTCTCCATTATTTTAAAAGTGTAGTTTTACAAATTTTAACTAATCTTTTAAATTTATTTATAAAAATGTTAATTGACTTGTTAATTGTTATATTTTAAGTTAGAGTTTGTAAAATTGTAAAATGTTAGTTTAATTAGTGTAATTATAACTTTATTTGTCAATTGCTAGAAATTTAGTGAGTTTAAATAATAATAATTGATATGTTTGTATTTTTTATTTGATTATTTTTTATAACATTAATTTGTTGGCTACAGGCTACTTGATTATTGTAAAATTTTATTTGATTTTTTGATAATTAATTTATGAAAATGATTGTTAGAATTTGTAAAAATTGTAAATTATTATTTAATTAGTAAAATTGTAACTTTATTTGTTAAAAATTTGGTAATGGCATATTTTATCTTACATATTTATCTTAAAATTGTAACTTTATTTGTTAGAAATATTGAATTTATTGTTTGATTATTGTTATTAGGTACTTTTATTTACCGATCACCATGGATAAGTTTCTATCTAAATGGAAGAATCCGGATTTATCATCTTCATCAAATAATCCAAATTTGAATGATCGAGATAGTGGTAAAAAACATCGAGTAGAAGTAGAATTGAGGGAGGATGATATTGTCGGTGATCCACGATTAAGAAAGCCTATTGATAGTTATCCTTTTGAGATTAGAGATGAATTGAGGAGACGCTACTTAGCAAAAGGCCCTTGTCAACCACTTGAACATAATTTTCCGAAAACTAGTTTTGGTGCAAATATGAGATCATTTCAAAAGACGTGGTTTGCTCAATATAATTGGCTTGAATATAGTATTCAGAAAGATGCTGCTTTTTGTCTACTTTGCTATCTATTTAAACGAGGTAATACACACGGTGGAGATGATGCTTTTACCGATGTTGGATTTTCAAATTGGAAGAATGCTTTAAAAAAATTCAAGGAGCATGAAGGGGGGTTTAAAAAGCGCACATCATTATGCTACAATTCAAAGTTCGACATTTAGAGATCAAAGACACAATGTGGATTATGTGTTATCACAAAAGAGCACTCAAATGGAGATCGATTATCGTATTCGGCTAACGGCGGTCATGAAGGCTATTCGGTATCTTTTAGGGGAAGGTTTTCCATTTTGTGGACATGACGAGTCACAAGATTCAATACGACGAGGTCATTTTCTTCGACTTTTGAAGGTGTATGGCAATCTTAATGAAGAAGTGAGCAAGGTCATTAACTCAAACGCTCCCGGGAATAACTAGATGACTTCTTCAAAAATTCAGAAGGAAATTATCAACGCTTGTGCCACAGAGGTACGGGAAGTCATTATAAATGAACTTGGAGATAAGTCTTTTTCTCTTTTGATTGCTGAAGCTCGAGATGCTTCAATAAAGGAACAAATGGCCGTGGTTCTGAGATTTGTGAACGATCGGGAAGAAGTGATCGAGTGCTTTATGGGAGTCGTGCACGTTAGTGACACTTCGGCACACTCTTTGAAAAGTGCAATTGATGAATTCTTTGCCAAACACGGATGATCACTTTCTAGACTTCGAGGTCAAGGTTATGACGGGGCTTCCAACATGCGTGGTGAGTTTAATGGTCTTAAAGCTCTCATTTTAAAAGAAAATAAACAGGCATACTATGTTCATTGTTTTGCTCACCAACTTCAATTAGTGGTTGTAGCAACTTCAATTGTGAATAGGAATCTAGGGATTTTTTTTGATTATCTTGTTAGAATTGTGAATCTTGTTGGAGCTTCGTGTAAAAGAATAGATGCTATTCGGGAAAAGCATTATAATGATGTTGCACGACGTATAGAAAGTGGTGAGATTTCTACAGGGACAGACAAGAATCAAGAAACGAGTTTAGCTCGACCGGGTGCTACACGGTGGGGATCTCACTATAGGACAATCAACCGAATTTTGGAAATGTGGGATGCGGTACAAGATGTTTTGGATGGTATTATGGAGGATGCCACGGATTTTCAAAGTCGAGGCGTTGCTAAAGGTTTGGTTGATAAATCAACAAGTTTTGAATTTGTATTCATTGCTCATTTGATGGTGACGATATTAGCAAGCACAAGCACACTGTCAGCGGCCTTACAAGAAAAGACTCAAAATATTGGCAATGCTCTTGTTTTGATTAAATCGGTCAAGAAAGATTTGAGGAAGTTGAGGGAGGATGGTTGGGAGGATTTATTGATGAAATTTCACCGTCGATTGGGTGTCCATATTTGTCTAACTACTCCTTGTTATAGTCTGGGAAGAATCCAAATTTATATAAGTTGTTTAATTTTTTTGTTAGATAAAGAATTTTGAAAAATCACGATTACATAAATTTTCTATCATATAATTCACCCATTTATTGTTTTAACTATTTTTTTTTTTATGCTTAATATATTTAATATTTTCATAAATAATATATATATTGAAAAGAATCAGCTACATACACATCATCGGATTACGCATGCATGACGTCAGCTCAACATGCTTCATGCATGAGCCACTGTCCTTCATCTGAGTGTATACGTGTATGGAGAGGATTAATTCATTTGTTACTTTTACTCTCATTATTCACTAGCATAGGAAAATTCTAGACTAGTCTTTTGTCTTGTATATAATGCAAGGT